GTGATGCTGACCACTTACCCTGTCTAGTGCCGAGGTTAAGAATGAGTAGGAGCTATACCTCCTTCCCCCTCAAGCACCTACATGACATATAGTGGGACACCTTTTAAATTTATTTTATGTTCTTATAATAAAATGTGCTATTCTATGACCTGTCCTACACTCTGCTTATTAGGGTCTATGGGGTTTTTCTATATTTATGTACTGGACCATATACTGAGCCAGTTATATATAGATGATAATATTAAAATGGATTTTAAAGAAACTGAGGATGTTGACTGGATTGAACTGGCTCAGTATATGGTCCATTAGCAGGCTGGCAATATACATGAATATAGATATGCCCCAGAGACACTAAGAATACTATTAGAGGTGCTATTTTTATTTCATATAGTATTTGACTTGGAAGTTTTATTAATGATGTGTGACTGATGAATATTTGTAGAATTTTGTTTGAATTCCAGAGAAAGGAAGAGTGTCTGTGTTTGGGAATAACGATTATGGACAACTTGGTCTCGGTCACAAGAATGTTACTGTGAAGCCAAGCTGTGTGAAGAGTAAGTGCATCATTGCCTGCACTGAATTGAAATGTTTTACTGAAAATATTACACCTGCATTACAGCATCTGTAATGAAAGACTGACCCAGTCTTTCTCAGATTATATTGCAGAACCATTTTATTTACAACTGTTTAAATTATGGGTAATTTGGAGGATGCTCTGTGATTCCATATTTAACTTTTATTGACCTTGTGCCAGCTGTCAATGCATTGCACTGGCGGCCTTTAGTTTGGGGATTTAAGCACCTATTATAGTATGAAAAAGGTTAACTCTCCTGGAAATGTAATTTTGTGTTTATGCGTGAAAATGTAATTATTACTTAATGCCTAATATTTGTGTGTGCATTAATTTTTAGGTTTGAAGCCAGAAAAGGCTACTCATGTTGCATGTGGAAGAGCACACACATTGCTCAGTACAGGTTAGTTTGTTTGTGCTGCATTAATTAAGCCTTTGTATGTGAACAAATGGTGAAATAAAGTTTGACTTGATTTTTTAAAGGTTTATAAACGTCTTAAGTTGTGAGATTTGAGGATCTGAAGGTGGAGGTGATACATTTCTCTAAGAGTACAGTGTGCACGTAAAAGTTTTGTCTCTTCACCTTGTAACTTAATTTCTGTATAAATGTCAGTTCATGCATTTAAATATTTTTCCTCACTCTCTTTTTTATAACTAAGATTCAGGTGAAATATTTTCATGGGGGAGCAACAGTGACGGACAGTTGGGTGTTGTTGACGTAGCCGATCGTTCAGCACCGACAAGAGTTTTGGGTGTACGTGATGAAATGATTCGGCTGTCAGCAGGATGCATTTCTTCTGCTGCACTCACAGGTAGGATTTCATTTGGTGCACTTTCATGTTTCTTTATGTCTTAAATGAGTGGTTATTATTTTACAGTTTTTGTTATAATAATTTCCTTTTTTTAAGGAAAGTAGTGGGCTTCTGAGATTACAATGTTGTCTTTCTTCCCTTCTTTTTTGAATATTTTGGCCTCTTTCTCTTTTCTCCCCTTTTTTCTTTTTAATTTTATGGACGTTCCTACAATCAGTGGTAGCAACATGACAGACACAAATTTTAGATGTGAGAGCAACAGTAGTGTAGTATAGGGCCCTGAAATGGTGTGTCATAAAATATGCACCTTTGTTAAGGTAATTTCCTTTGTAGAATGTTGTCTTTGTGAAAATTTTCATCACCTTTCTCATTGATAGAATTGGAGGTAAGAATCTGAAATTTTGTGTAAAGATTATAAAAATTTCTACAAGTCATGTTTGAAATAAACGCTTACAAACTTGAGACAGTATGAAACTTAGAGCTGACAAATTTAGTATAAACTCTATACAGTGAAAGTTTTTCTCAAAAAGAAAATAAAACCTGCTGCTGCTACCATAGTAACAGAAACAACGACAACATTCTGTACCTTATTTGCAGTTGTATTCATGTTATGTTATAAACTGTAATGTGTAAATATAACATCAACAAAACTAGAATTCTGTTGTGTTGACTAAATTTTAACAAGTTTTAGTGGAAATAAGTTAGAAATGTCACAATTTATTCTTTCTTTGATGCCTCTGTTCATGGTAAATTATGTCTGTTAAGTCTTCAAAAGAGGTAACTTCTGTCCAACCATTGGTGGTTGGTAAAAAGGTAAGTAAAATGTTAAGATAGTAAGGTTTCATTTTTATTTGCAATCAAGAAAATTTATGTATTTTGTCACAATAATTGTACTTCTGCCAGGATTTGTACTGTTTCATAATATTATAACTGCTGATGCCAGTTTTTGACATTGTTTTTTACAGCTTGTGGACATGTTTATGTTTGGGGTAGCAATTCAGGTGGTCAGCTTGGGCTCCCAGAAACAAATGATAGTGTTTTGAGTCCTGTTTTAATGCCTTTTGACCAGCAGATTGTTCACATCAGTTTTGGATATTATCACACAGCATTTGTTACAGGTGTGTTGGAATCTTTGAGTAATAGAAATTATAGAATTTTGTATAAATGAGTCAAAGAAGTGCATATATACAAACTTTTTCAAAAAATTACTGAATTTAAAGTACAGTTTTCTAGACGTGCAAAAGCAATATATTTTATGTCAATCTGATATTGCATATGGCACATAATGAAGTATTGAAATGCATTCAAAGATGTTTGAATTCAAGTCTTGTTATGGAAAGTTTCCAACAGGGAAAGTCGTAGAGAGTTTAGCTTATGTAATATCTCATTCCATATATGGTAATAGTAATAGTAGTTTATGGGAAATTGTAATGAAGTCTTAGTCATGTGAGCATGGATTGGTTTCTGCCCTGAACATCGGGGATTCACGTGACAGTCTGTCGTAGCTCTCAAGAGCTTGATGTCCCTGTTTGCAAATGGAAATAGGGTGTGAGGTTGTGGACTGGATTTAACTTGCTCAGGATAGGATCCAGCAATGGGCTGTTGTGAATGTACTAGTGAACCTTTAGGATCAATCAGAGGTAGTTTCTTGATGAACTGAGCGTGTAAATTTGTTTGATCGCTAGTATCAAGAATGTAACTGACTTCTTCCACCAGCTTCCAAAAAAATTGAAAGCAGGAACTTTTTTAAATAATTCTGATTCCTTACTTTTTAGAAGTGAATATTCTCACCTTACATAAACTTTTACATTACTGAATGGCGTACTTGTCTGTTAGTAGCATAAATGATGTAATGGAAGCTGAAAATATGAACATAATTATTTTATTTTTTGTCAGTTATTTCCGTACTAGGAGATCTTTGATGTCTTCAGCAAGCAGCACTTTATACACATGTGGAGAAAGTGAATCAGGAAAGTTAGGACTGCCCGACAGCCTTACCAAACATTACCTCTCCTCAGAAAGTGACGCTTGGAATTCCAGTAAAATCTGTTTTCTGTGGTGGATATCACACGGTTGCATTGACGGGTGAGGTTGATGCTGCTCACTTTGGCTTCAAGAGTTTGTTGATTCTTTGTAGAGAAATGTAGTTGAGATAAAATTCTCTCTTTGTAACAAGTGACTGTGGACGTGTGCACATCTAAATGGTGCACTTGAGTACAAGTGGTTTTTGTAGGTGATGGATGAAAATGTTCAAGAAATAACATAGTGATCATGGGGTGCCAAAATATAAACAGGTTTGATAGTTCATTTACAAACAAAATAATGATTGAACCACGTGATAGGGTTTGAAATTTATTGCCTCTGGATTGGTTTAATTGAATACAAAGTGTTTTGTAGTTACAGATTGGTGTAAGAGTCGTGAATCATGAAGCTAAGTATATTATCAATTTCCAGCTGGTGGTGAGGTGTTTGCATTTGGCAATAACTTTAATGGTCAGCTGGGTCTCGGAGTAGATGTTCCTCAAAGTGTACTGCCAACAAGGGTCACAAGTTTAGAAGGTTGTGTGATCAGAGATGTGGCATGTGGTGAAAGCCATACAGCATTTATAACAGGTGGGACATTGCTTCTTTGCAGACCGTTCATACATTAATTAAATTGATTTTATGAACATTGTGCTTCTTCCTATGACATTGCCATGTTAAGAGTTTTGTCTCGCTCATCCACCAGTATCTATTGTCTCTGCATTCATTCTTTTTGATGTTAATACTAAGCTTTGGAAGTAAAGGGATTGGACCAAATTGCTACAGGTTGCATTGAAATTGTCAGAAGTCTCTATAAGAACATGACACAATGTTCACTTAACATGAAGAGAAATACTGTATTTTAATGTAACTTACAATTGGTTTTGCGGTTCATACCTTTGTATCGGGTAAATCAGCTCAATGCTAAACCACCAGTTACAACTTTATTTTGTACAATTTAAATATTATTTATTGCCATGAATGTTTTGGCCATTTATACGTTGTCACTTATGTTGTTTACATAAAAAGTAATCATTTGTCTTTTTACTTCGAAAGTTTAAAATGTGATGTTAAACTGTTTCAAGGTAAATGTACATATAAAATTCTGTGGTGTGAGCAGTCACTTTTTTTTTATATTAAAACGTTTTCTTGTTCAGTTATGTACACAGTAAAAATCTGTTTTAAACCTTTGTGGTTTTTAGTAGGCTTGTACGTATAATTGAAATTGTGATTTGGTTGTGTGCATGCATGTCACTAGAGTGAATCGGTCAGTAGAAAATATAATTTTTTTGTTCTTCCTTCCTCTCCTATCATCTGTTTACTCACACAATTGAGAGTCTGCTGTAATGTGTTTTAATCTTTTAGATGCAGGCAGCCTGTATACATGCGGGGAAGGTCGACATGGGAAACTTTGTAGTGAACAAGACAACGACAATCAGTTGATTCCATTTAAAGTTACTAAGTTCAAGGGATACACAGTTCAGAAAGTAAGAATGTGTGGATGCACATACTTGAAGATTGTTTCTGCACAATAAACATTTTTGAGACCAAGGACCATGTTCACACTTGCGGGCTACAAGGTCATAAATGAGTAAAATTTATCAAATCTTTATGACAGTTTTTGACAATGATAAATGGGTTTATGTGCCTGTCTAAAGGTTTTTGATGATCTGTCATTAAAGTGATGCAGATTCTTGAGTGCTGAGCTATGTAATGCTGCTTTTCCTTGAGTAATCATTCACTATCCAGTTTATTTCTGTTGCAATTTACATGTACTACTCGCAAGTTTTCATCACTAAAAAGCATCCCAACCATTACTAGCTTGAAGATGGCTGTCTTCAGGGTTGTAGTGCTGTGTGGTTCAGAGGTCCTTGCTACCTCCATCACGAGGGCAAGGACCTCTGAAACATTGATAAATTTCTACCAGACAACCCAGAGTAGGGCCATCTTTGTACTCATCACCATGAAAACCTCAAATCCTACCATCACCATCCCATCACTACCTCATTTCATTAGCATCACCATCATCATTTTGTACCATCTGTCTCAGCAATAATACGTTGGTTAATACAGATGCCCCCGTACCAGCCCAGTTTAATGACTGTGTAAAGACCTCTAAACCAATTGGTTATAATGGCTGTACAGACGGTTTTATAACAACCCCATATCATTGTGATATGTACACCTGCATATGAACCCCTTATAAATTCGATATAGGCCCACTATAATGACTATGTAGAGTTCTGTATACAGCGACATTACAATGGCCATATTCATGCTTCAGTGCCAGCCCATTATGATGGTAACATAGATGCGATAATAGGGCCTCCATACCAGCCAGATGCAATGGTTAAGTAGGTGCCTCATTGAATGCCTTAACAGACAGCTCTGTCTATTCTGAAGGGCTCTGACGGTGATGTGATACAACCCAGGCAGCTCCATGTCAGCCAGTTATGATAATGATAGGGTGGTGAAGTGGTGATGTGAGTGTGTTGGAATGGTGATTGAGATTGATTGTGATGGTATGGAATTGCAATAGAATGTGTTGGTGATGGTGGTTTGTTTATGGGATGGTATGGTATTGGTGATGGAGTGTTCTTGGTGGTATGATAATGTGTTGGGATAGGATTTTTATGGTTTCCTGATGGAATGGGGGATGGGAATGGATGGGACAGTGATGGAATCATTATTGGATGGTGATGGATTTTATGGTGGTTTGGTGGGATTTGGCAGAAGTGGGTTGGGATGGAATTGTGATTTGTTGATGGTGATCAGTGAGGTGATTCTCTTGACTTCATGTGGGAGCTTGAAGATTTTGGGCACAGTGTCTAGAGGGAGAGGTGGACTTTGAAGCAGGCCTTCTAGTAGTCATCCCATGGAGTAATTTCTTATGTTTGCCTATATTGAGAATGAAATTGTTGGAGAAGGTCTGGCAAGTGAGTGCTGAGGAGTTCGTCTTGTAGTGCCTGAATTGCAGTTTGGAATTTGGCCCTTAGCTGTTCCATTAGTTGTTGCGTTTCCTGCTTAGGGCTGTGATCCGGATTGTAGAACTCGGCCTCGTCCTTTCATTTCATTTGTATATTCATGCATATTATTCACATTAAAGTATAGTGGCCTCAGACATGTTGGTTCATGACCATACTGTGTACTTGCCCCAGACAATGGCCTTGACAACTTATAAACATACATTGTTTTGAATTGCGCCCACATTTATCAGAGGCTTGGTGACAACACACATACAGAACTCCCAGCTTTTAGGCCTTGTTTTGGGGCGAGTACGTG